CACATTTCCTGAAAAACCTTGGCTAACCACCAAAGGAACCTATTTGTTGTTTGACTTTGTCAACTTAATTAATTACATCCGAAACAATTGGCTCACAGAAAAAAAAGGATAACTTTTTATGAAAATGGTGTTGAGAAAACAGCTTGTTGGAGTCATTTAATAAAACTTTTTGAAGCTGATTCTAATTGTCTAATAAAGTTTTCTTATTTGAATGAAGTTTCTGTTTGACCCAGTCATATTGAAAGACAATCTGTTTCTACCTGTCTAAAAGTGTTTTCTGAAAAAACATACAGCACTTTACTTAATGATACTGAAACCTCCAACATCTTAAACATAAATGAGACTGCTGATTTTATTAAAATGGTTGTTATATGGTTATATGTTATAATGGTTACATCGTGGAAAATTTTAAATGTAAAAAGTGTGTGTAGATTGTAGGTTTAATGATGATCGACAAGCTGTCATCAGAGATCCAAATGATGATAGATTAAAATTTATTTGGGATTTCGGAGAAATGGCATTACTTATGACAAGTAATCAAGGGAAGCGTATAAAACAATTAACACATGATACAGGATATTCCATAAATCATACATGTAATGGAATTGTTGAGTTGACAAAAACAATATTAAAAGAAAAAACACAAATATGTTATGTTGGGAAAATTTACAACAGACCCACTTGAAAAAGAATTCAGCAAGTTAAAACAAGGATCTGGTGGCACATATTTTTTAAGTGTCCAACAAAAAATTGAAAAGTTCAATATTTCTAAAACTTCACTTTTGTTGTCATATAACAGTAATGAGTCAACTCCTGATGCAGGACATTCTTGCCAATTCTGTGGATTTTTACTTGATGAATCTTCAGCTGAGGTCTTTGATAATTTACCAACACTAGAAAAAAGTATAACTGTTCAATCAAAGATGTCTCTTGTTTATATTGCCGGATATGTGTCTCGTAATGATGATTTGCTTAACGAAAATGAACTTTTAACCAGAACAATGTTTTATTTTAAAAAGTTTGGTCAATATCTAAAATCAATCAATGGAGGTGAGTTAAAAGTTTCTTTTGATAATACTGTTCAATGGGTTTTCTTCTCATTTCTACTATTTAACTCTATTAAAGATAAAGTTTGTCGGACATCCCTGGTCGGACATCCCTGTGCAACACTTTTATGCTTATATCGGATCGTTACTCTTTTGACATGGACGTCATGGTAATATACTGTCAAATATTTTTATCAAAAACCACTGCAAACTTTCCACACCAAGAGCAAACAAAGAACCGTCTCTGAAAATTTTAAAGTTGTTTTGTTAATTTGACAGTTATTTATTGACACTTATGCTGTTATTTCTTTATTGAAAATTATTAATTGATTTAAGGTTTCTGTTTTATGATTTTAAAAGTATTCCTTATTTATTTAAATCACTAAAATATATTTCTATTTAAAGGTGCAGTTACCCGAACACTAATTTATTTAACTTTTGTTTTTAACCTGATATAAAACTTTTATTTCATTATTTGAGCAATTCTATGAATTGAAACAATTAAATAAAGTTTATTGTTAAAAACTTAAAAAGATTTATAAATTGTACAAATTTTTACATAGTTTAATGCTTTATATAACGAGAGCAACATATTTTGTTTTAAAACAATTATCATATTGATTTTTGAAATATCGGGCCCCACATTTTTTTCTAAGTTTTGCGTGTCACGGCCTGTTACTTATAGATCGCCGTGGATAAAACAGAATTTTTTTTTTAATGGCTCCTTCGCCTTACAGTTCTGGGTTCATTTGCTTGAAGTATCGTATATTTTGCTTATAATGGCCTTACGGTATCCAGGCCACTGATAATACACGCAGATATTTTTACGTGAAAAGTTCTAAGTTTTTGTTGCGCATATAAAAGTACCGTAGTTGTTTAAACCAAAACTTTTAGAGTCAAAGGATATTCTTTAGCAGGATATTCTTAAGCAGGTTGACATTTTTTGTATTAAAGCGGCAAAAAAGCGGTAAAATATAAATAAATATATTTACTTACTTTATATAAATTACTTTTAATTTATTATGCAAATTATATAAAATGTAAGCTTTTGTAATTTAAATTTTACTTTTTATAATTTATTTTTAATAAAGATTTGTTACTACTTTTGTTATAAAAAATTCCTCTTAAAAAAATATTATTTTATTTATAAATTTAATATACGTTTGGTAACATATTACTTTTATGTATTTTACTTTTATATGCGAGTTACTTTTTAATATAATATTTTTTTGAGGTAAATGTAAATAACAGTTTGATTACTTTTAGAGGTAAATGTAAAATAACAGTTTAAGGAACTTTTATATTACGTAGTCTGTTTTTCAATAGTAAATAACATTTAAACGTAAAAGTGAATTATTTTTAAATTATTTTTTGATGTAATCTTATTTTATATAACTTATTTTTAAAAGTAAAAAAGCTTACATTATAAAGTAAAAGTCGTTTAAAAAAAATTAATTACTTATACAGAAAATGTAATTGTAGTTTACTTTATGGTAAAATTATCTTAGTCGCGTAAGCAAAAAAAAAGAAGTAAAAGAGCCATCCCTATTTCAGGAAGTATATAGTACAACTTACATTTTACTTCTTACAAAGTAGAATGTAAAGTTTCAAAAAGAAGGATTTCCTTTTTTTGTAATTGTTAAGGGCATTTATATTTAAATTTTTGTTTTATGTAAGATGGCTTTGCTAAACAAACACTTTTACACGTAAAAGTAATTAGTTGTTATGATGTAGTTGTATTTTACTTTGTAAAGTAAATTTTATGTTTTTTAAATATTATATTTACGTAAGTTTTCTTCGTACAAAACTTTTTTTAAATATAAAAAGTAAAATACATTTCGATATAAGTTTTTTACATTTTTAATTTACATAATTTTTTATATAATCAAAATTACTTTCCACGACTTACCATTGCAAGTTATTTTTTTTATTATTATTATTATTTTTTTTATATTATTCAAACTTATCACTAATATTTACAAATGCTCATCGTAAATTAATAAAATTTGGGAAGGTGTTACTCATAGTTACAAACTATTCAATGGAGTGACACTTAAAAAACATAAAATTCCCGAAAAATTAAACAAATAAAGAAATAAATAAAAAATAAAAAGAAAGAGAAGTAAAAAAAAAGAAAACATTAGAGAAAAAAAGAAAAGATTAAAAAACTCAAAAAGTTAAACAATTATTAATGATATATGTAGTAAATATAGTTATAATACAAAATATTTACAATAATAATAAAGTATCAATAATATAAAGAATAACTATAATACAATATAAATAATATGTGCATATCATACAATTTATATTGTATTAAATTATATAGTATTTATTTTATATCAGATGTTAATTGAATATAATAAATAACATAAATACATAAAAATTTAAAAGTAAAATTAAAAATGCAAGTAACTTTTATTTGTAAAAGTAAATTACTTTGTCAAGTAACAGTTACTCATTTAAAAAACCAACTTAAGTAATTAAGCTTTACATGTTATATGATTTATGTAAAAAAAACGAATTATTTTTAAATGTTATTAAACCATATTTTTTATATGAGTTATGTAAAGAAATTTACGCTTATCAGTAAATCGCGTTTTTACACCAAAGCAAGTAAAAATGACGTCCATACATTTAGACGAGCAGGAAAATAAGAACTAGATAAAGACTTATTAAGTTGATTAGAGATTGACAAACAGCGAGTTGCGAAATGTTTTTGCATGGCTTTAACAGGGTTGATATGCAAACCATAAGCTGTAATAAGTTATAGAAAAAGATATGATAAAAAAGTTTAACAAGAAGGAGTGATTAGAAACTAAAGTGATTTTGATGTCTAATAGTGGATTAACCTGTTTTTTGGGACAAAAATGCGGTCATCAAACTTTAAAGATGAATCATTTAAAAAATGTTATAGAATTATATAATTTTATCTTAGAAAATGTAATAAAATGAGGCCTTCATATAAAAAATGGAAAGTTATTCTTGTCTTTTGTAGTGAAAATGTTTAGATTTTTTCTCTAGAAAATTACTTGGCAATCCAAGGTTGATAGAAAATTGCTTTAAACAGTGTCTATTTTGTTTGAGTTTTTTGCAATAACAACAGAGACCTAATTTGTAAATAAAATTATTATTCATACGTAAACAAAATTATAATTTAAACCTAATTATATTTATAACTAATACTTAATTATAATCATATATGATACATAAGTATATTTTTAATTTGACGTAAATACAATTATAACTCATACGTAAGTATTGTTGTAATTTATATATAAGTATAATAATAATTGGTACGTAAGTATAACTATATTTGGTACCTAAGTATAGTTATAATTGATATATAAATATATTTATAACTGATATGTAAGTTTATGCTTATGCGAGGCATCTGAGGATCCTTGGATTTTAGCTCTCAACGCTAAAATCCAAGGACCTCACCCATATTTAAGTTAGTTTTACAAAACGTAAGTAGGTCTGGTAAATTTTGCACGAGACTCAAATGATGAAAAGTTTATTAGTAAACTTATATATTTACAAAGAAGAGATTAAAACTGTTCGGTTATAATTATGAGTTTTTAGTTTAATATGTTTAAGTACTTTATTCATGATTTTGTTTAATAGAAAACTTAATTTCAGTAGCACTTTTTTAAATAAAGTAAAATTGATTATACTTGAATCAAATCAAAAACGAATAATCTTCTATTAAAAAATATTTAATATCGAAAACCATTAATTATGGAGTGTAGTTTTTACTTTTGTAAGTTTAACAAATGTTTTTTTGAAAAATTATTTTGACGTTATAGTCTTTATTGTCTCGTTACCAAAAATAAATTAAATATAAGGAAACACAATTGGAAAAATAAAGATTTATTTTAAAAAATAAAGAATTTATTTCTAATTGATGATTTTTATTAAAAAAAAAAAAAAAAAAGTATAAACAATACATACTATTGAACGGCGATAATAACTTAAGCAAAGAAGCATTGAATAGACAGACAAAGTTAATCCAATAACTTTAAAACTTTTGTCTACAATCTCCATCACTTCGCAAACTGCTTTAT